CCACGCGCAGAGGGGGGTATAGGGGGAGGGGGGAAGGCTTCTTAGAAGCTCCCCCGCTTCTCAGAAGGCGCGGGCCTTGCCTATAGATGGAAGGGCTAGCGCCTTCTAAGGAGCAGCCTCCTTCGAAGAAGCCTTCCCTCTTCCCCCAACCCTCTGTGCGCCGCCGTGAGAGGGGAAAGCTCAATCGAGGATCGAGGGCTGTGCACTTGCTGCTGCCCTGTTCGAAAGCTGCAGTGGGCATTCTCTTGGCCATAGTTGGGATCCCCTCGAGGTTCTGGCCAAAACAATCGCCGCTGGAGAGGTCCAGGGGACGATTTTTGCAAGGCGGGAGGAGGAGGAGGATAAAGAAAACCTAGAACAGAGAAGAGACACGATGACGGAGGAGGAGGAGGAGGAGGAGGAAGAGGAGGAACGAGAAGAATCACAGGCTAGGTGCGCTCGCGCCGTGTCAGACATCCTGCCCATCCCACCCATTCCGCCCCATTGTGCTAAATTATGTTGTGCCAGTGGGTTGTAGAGGACCTTGGTTCCCAAAATGATCCCATCGTGCGATGCACAATCATACTTGTGTTTTTCTGCGCATTGGAGCAGGAAGGTTGACGGAAGAGCAGGAGGAAGATGAGGAAGATGATGAAGGAGGTTACGGACCATCAGCAACAGGAACAGGATGAGCAGGAGGAGACGTGGAAGGCGGAGTTTTGGGGAGGAGGGGACGTCGCTGAGGAAGGAAACATATCCATGACATAAGTGTCGCTTGTGCTGAGGCGATCTGAACGACGGGAGCAGAGCACCAATTCTGAAATGAAGTCACCGCTTCAGCAGGAACGCCTTGTTGGCAGGACCGGGAAACTTGTGATTGACAAATCATGGGGGAGGATGAGGAGGAGGAGGAGGTGACCAGAATCGGCCAGACTTCGACTCGTTTTCTCCGAGTCGTTTGCCCCAAGGCTTTGCGACCCCTTCTCTTCGATCCGCTCTCTCATCCTGAGTTCTTCGTTTGACGGCCCCGGGGGACTGGAGACGGCTTCCAAACGACGAGAATTTCAACAACAATCACAATAACAAATCCAGCACAGCACGATTCGTTCAGACTGCCAGAGGTTTGGGACTCCGAAGGTCTCCAGAAACCTTTAGAAGTTCGCGGAGGTCTCTGGGTGCCTCCGCGGATGGTTTGGAGGCCAACTGCGTAATGCAAACAACGGGCATACCCGGTTGCGTTGGCGCCTGGGAGGAAAGGAGGAGCTAGGGGGGGCGGGGCGTGTCGGTGCCCGCGGGGGAGGGCAGGCGCCATGGAACGTTCCCCCCAGCCATTTGATTCGGGTGCCATCCTCGGACCAGAATGCGAAATTAAACATTTGGGACTTGGATTTGATCTTCAAAGTTGCAGATTGTTGGGGCTCGATGGCCAGGGAGGTGCAAGGAACGGAATTAATGCAACAACGAGTGAGTCATCGTCCTGAACCAGCAGCCGTTGCAGACACGGTGCAGACATGACTCCTGGAGCTCGAGTCGCCCAGGACGGCGCTCGAGAGCGCGCAAACATCTGTAGTGCCGAATTCCACCCTCTTCTCCCCCAATCTGCCCCATGTGTGTGCAACACCCGAGAGAGGGGGGGGGACCGCAGGCGAGTTCGAGCGTCGAGGCTTTCTTGATCGAGGATCCAGGGCCGGGGATGGCGGGGGATATCTCCCCCTGAGCATGGTGCAATTTCCTCAGTATCGCTATAACCGATCCCACTCCCGACCTGGCCATGGCCCGCCATGGCATCTCGGCCCCACCATCCCAAGCCCCCAGTTGGGGACGGGCCCTTCGAGGCCCGAAAGGAACAGCTCAATATGATATTCCCAGCCCGAGGGGAATCGGGCCACTGGGGCCCAGGCCACGCCAGTGGGATAGGGAGCGGTCGAACGATGCTCGCCTCGCCTGGTCGGGCGGGGCGGCCCGCAGGACCCGCCCAAGTGGCTGCTGACCCCGCAGCAGGCGGCGGTGCAGGGGGCGATCCGCGAGGCGCTGCGGCAGAGCGACAGCACCAGGCCAAAAGCGGCCATGCCGCCGCTCGATGGGCGAGAGGGCGGAGGGCCGTCGTCGGGGGCGAAGCGCAGACGAGTCGGGGGGGCGGGCACTGCTCGGGGGGGGCTGAAGGTGCCCCTGGCCCAAGGTGCCCCAGCTTTTCGATCAAGTTTCAAGGCCCTGGGGCCCTCTGGGCCTTGTGAGGGGTGCCCTGGAGGCCGTGGGGGCCTCCTTGGAAATCCTGGGGGCACCTTGGGGCACTTCTAGCAACACCCGAACTGCTGCTTGGAGGAGGCTCTCTCGGGCGTCTCCTGCGGCGGTGCCGGCCCTCGGAGGCCAGTGAGTTGCTCCCGACCCTGGGGGAGCGAGCTGCCGGATCTCCTCCCGAAGGTCGAGGGGGGGGGAGGGAGGGAGGGATCTCCTCCCGAAGGTCGACGGGGGGGAGGAGGGAGGGGGAGGTGCGCTGCGGCAGCACAACGGCACCAGACCGGTACAGGAATCGGGGCTGGTTCGGGGAGGGTCCCCTAGTGTTCTTCGTGCTCGCTGGCTGTTCTCGTGCACTGGGGTGTTGTGGCCGGCGGAGGGTCTTTTGTGTGGCCATTTTTGGTTGCTGCAAGACTGCGGGCCTCTGTTGCTGTCTTTGGGCAATACGTGGGTGTGCAACGTGTGCACGTTGCCCAAACTTCTTGCAACGAGGTTGGCTTCTTAATACACTCTTGGGGGTCCTTTCGGAGCCCTGGGCCGTCTTGAACCCATCTAGCGTGTTTTTGAGGCTTCCTCGGCGTGTTGGAGCCCAGCTTGAGCCACCTTGGGTGCTATGTGTGGCACCTTGGAGGCCACGGAGTGCAGATCTGGAGGCTCTGGAGACCTCAGGGGTGCGTTGGCGAGCTCTGGCCCCCACCCCTCCCACCCCCAGGGCCCCCTCTAATGCCAGTCTTGGCCCCGGACTCCTCCTCCTCCTCCTCCTCCTTCTCCTCCTCCTCCTCCTCCTCCTCCTCCTCCTCTGCATCCTTCTCCTCCTCCTCCTCCTCCTCCTCCTCCTCCTCCTCCTCCTCCTCCCAGTCGTGGCCCCGGATAGGGACTGGAAGGGGGGGGACAGCCAGCGATCTCACACGCCTGTGCACCCCCCCGAAAGAGGGGGTCGACGGATTTCGAGCTTGAAGCGTCTCCAAGCTCCAAGACCAGAAGTGCAAGAGTGCTGCAGAGATGGCACGGAAGAAGTGTGGCTCTTTTGCAGAATTCCTTTTTCGCTACACATCTTCTTGCATTTGATGGTCATGTATCTTCCTAGTGTAAAATGCCTTACGGCCGGTGTCGCCGACCCAGGACGACGACGAAGACGACTGCGACGCTGACAGCGACGACAACGGCAACGTCGAGCTGAGGGAGGAGGAGAAGAGCGAGGAGAAGAAGGAGGAGGAGAAGGAGGAGAAGGGGGAGGAGCGTCGCGGCTCGGGGCCGGGCCCGGTCAACGGCCAGGGCTGGAGCGGTGGCCACGGCCAGGCGCCGGTGCCAGAGCCAGGGCCGGGGCCCAGGATCACCCCCTGCCCCCACGGGACACCTTCGGCGACAGCCCCCCGGGACCCACCCAGGACCCCCCTTGCCCCCGGCGGGAAAGGTTACAAAGGGAAGGGGCTTGCATTCGACATGTTTGTTCCGATATTGTTGGATTCCGTTTGTCCGTTCGATCTCCATTACGACGACGACGATTCAAAGGGTTGGCGTACTTCAGTCTAGGTTGGACAGGCTTCGTTTAATGGACAGATCATATACCTTTACATTTCTCATGGCTATGTCACACGACTCACCCATTATCTGTTTGAGTAATTGATATCGTCGAAGCTTCCTATGGCGCCGTGCACCAAACGTAGCAACTTCTTGTTGACGAGCATGTTCCGCCGATGGGGTTTAGATACCCCCCACCTGGCGTTTTCCTGGAGTGCATCCTGACCAGAAGTTCGAGGCGGATCCAGCAGTGGCCATGAGGGTGCCCGGGAAAGCCCTGGAAGGCGCAACAGTCAAGAGCACAAATCTATCTTACATCCTCCCCCCTCCCTCCTTCCGACCCCTCCCCCTCGTGGGCGGGAAACGCCATATCCACGACCTCTCAGTCCAGACTGATCGGCCGCAACCCCATGGATATTGGGGGGTGGGCGCCTTGCGCGGATGCCCTGCAGGTAATGCAGCCATGGTGTCGCGTATCCATTGGATCGTCGGGCGGGGTTATGACCAGGATACATCCGTTCCAGAGCGTTCCAGAACCTTCTCAGAGCGTTCTGGAACGCTCTGAGAAGGCCGCGGCGTCCAAACCATCCTACAGAGCCGCCGGATCTCAGAGATTCTCGATTTATCCTCAATTGGTTTTATTCCTCGTCCTGGATTCGTCTTTCAGCGGCGGCCTAGCGCGGATGCCTCGCAGGGAATGTACCCATGGGATCGCGTACCCATGGGATCGCGCGCTCCCAGCGTATATCCCAGGGTTGGGCCCCAAATTCCTGGTCCATTTGAAAGCCCCACAATGCCTGGGATAGGGGTCGACATATCACCTGTTAATGGAGTCGCGTATCCCTGGGATCGCGCGCTCGTGACCACCCGCCCAACCTCTCCGTGGCCCGCTCCCCGCCGGCCCCGTCGGGAGGCTGCAGCAGGCCTGCCAGCAGGTCATGGAGACCGCCGGGGGCCAGACCGCATGCAGAGAGGCCCGGGCCTCTCAGGTCGTCGTCGGAGGGGGGGGCGAGGAGGAGGATCACTCCTCCCTCCTCTCCTTGTCTGCCTCTCCTCCTCCATTCCTTCTCCTTATGGATAACTCCTCCCTGTCGCACCGCGAGGCCAGTTTTTCATGCGGGCCGGGCGTTTCGCCTGAGACTTCCTCACCACTTATGACTCTGAAGCTCAGAAAGTGACAACAGCTTCACAGATGGAGGGCGGGTGGTTTTCAAAATGTGGTTCTCGCTTTAGCGCCGCGCACATTCGTCTGAACAATTTGCAAGAGTTTCACGCGTTGAGGGCGGTTGGTTTTCAAAATGTGTCTCTCGCCTTAGTGCCGCGCACATTCGTTTTGACAAGTTGCAAGAGCTTCACGGATTGAGGGCGGTCGTTTTCAAAATGCGACTCTCGCCCTAGCGCCGCGCACATTCGTTGTAACAATTTGCAAGAGCTTTTCGGATTGAGGGCGGGTCGTTTTCAAAATGTGGCTCTCACCGAAGCGCCGCGTACATTCGTTGTAGTAGTTTGCAAGAGCTTCACGGATTGAGGGCGGGTTTTCAACATGTGGCTCTCGCCTTAGCGCCGCGCACACTCGTCTTAAACATTTGCAAGAGTTTCACGGATTGAGGGCGGGTCGTTTTCAAAATTTGGTTCTCGCCCTAGCGCCGTGCACATTCGTCTCAAACATTTGCAAGAGTTTCACGGACTCAAGGCGGTTCTTTTTAAACATGTGGGCTTAGCGCCGCGCACATGTTTTTTATTAATTTGCAAGGGTTTCACGGATTCCCATGATCAGCGCACCAGAACTAATGTTTTGGACGGATTCAGGATTATGCTGGCGCAACAGTTATGTTGATTCGCTGTGGTGAAGTCCCACAAATGGCGTTATGGCACGGTTTTGGATCGTCAAGACGCAGCAGTCAAGTTGATACGTGGTGTTGAAATCCCAGGAACATTGTGTTGGCACGCTTCAGGATCTTCAAAGTGTTGTCTTCCAACGATGCAGTTCCTTCAATAGAAATCGTCGTAGGGGACTACAAAAAGGGAGCTTGGAGGGAGGGTTAATTCCAACATCGTTGATGACTCTTGGGTTTCCACTGGTCCTCCTCCTCCTCCTCCATCCCCTCCGAGGGGGAAACCGTACCTATACCGCTGCCCTTCGCCTGTTTTCCCTTGTTTCGGCCTCCTGCGAGGCCCTCGTCGCCACCAGTGGATGTGTTTCTAATTTCTGGTCAGAATGCACCCCGGGAGAGGTCTGGGTAGTAGCGGAACCGGTAGTTTTTGGGTTCCCCGGAGGAGGAAGAGGAGAAGGAGGAGGAGGAAGAGGAGGAGGAGGAGGAATGGTGGGGAGGAGGAGCCGGAGGAAGATGAGACGTCAGATAGGCCGGCCTTCAGCAGGATGAGAAGAGAATTCGCAAGGGAGGGACATCATGCGGCGGAGGAGGACGAAGAAGAGGACGAGGGATCAAACGGAAGATAAGGGCATGGACTATGAGAAGTAGGAGGACAGGGAGGATGAAGACGAGGAAGAGGAGGTCGGCATTGAAGAGGGGCAAGAGAAACATCCAGAGGATGAAGCGGAAACATCTGATGTTAATGAGGAGGAGGAGGAAGCAGTCCGGTAATAGAAGAGAGTAGGGACGATCAGAAGGAGGAGGAGGAAGAAGGGGAGGGGGATGACATCGAGGAGGAGGAGGAGGAGGAGCATGTGAGCAAGAGCAAGGGGATATCAGGAGGTGGAGGATGCAGGGGAAGATATTGACAGGAATGATGACGAGGAACTTGCGCAGGATGAGGGATGGGATTGGAGGGCGAACATTAGGAGGAGGACAGTGGCTTCAGGATTCCAGTGATGGAGGTGCCAGCTAGTCTCCCGCCTGCGCTTCGTGATCGCCTCGCAGGCTCTAGAATAGGCAAGTGTTGACTCTCCCAGAACCGGCGAAAGTGGCGACGGTTACGCGGCTCGCAGCATCCAGATAATTACGAGGGCGACCCCCGCAATCTATCATCCTGCTGGGCCTCCCAGGACCGACGACAGCAGCGACAACTGTACGGTCGGCAGGTACAGGCGAGATAGAGTTCGGACCCGCGTCAGGCACCAATCCGTTGGACCTATCGGGAGTCCACGAAGGCGGCGGCAGTTTCGCAGTTGTCGTCACCACCAAGAATTGAGGTCTCATTTGCATATACGTAGCGCGCCGCACCAGGACTTGCCTCCCAGATGGATTTCGCAAACCGCAGCCCCAATGGGGACGACGAGGCGTAACTTTGATGCACGTAGCACGCCCGCGAAATGGGCACTCGCAACTCGCAGCCCCCAGACAAGACGCAGGCAGAAGGTACGAGGCATGCAGGGGGCAAACGGACGAAAGCGAGGAGGAGGGGGAGGAAAAGGACGGCTGGACGGATGAGGAGAAGGCAACAGTGTTCGAATTGAGACGAGAATCCAAATCGGGAGGGCTGGAAGAAACTCGAACTACAATCCTCGAGTCTCGAGTATCCTCCTACCCTTCCTTCGTTCCCTCCCACCCTGGCCTCAGGAGATGGAGCAAGCTGTCCACCGACTCCGGGCCCACTACAAGCTGCCCGCCAACTGGGATGTGGAGGCGATGATCGGTGACAGCGCCAGCAGGCTGCTGGCAAAGAACGAGGCTGGTCGGACTACGGCCAAAACCTTGGAAGGGGAATCCCTTTTCGTCCTGAGAATACGAGGTGCGAGGATGTACTTTGTCATGTGTGGGTCTCCTGGAGGTTTCTCTTCGACACTGCTGGACTCCATAGGAACATCTGGCCAGAACGCACCCCATGAGAGGTCCCGAGGTCGATGTTGCTCGGCCGCCGTGCAGGAAAGGAGTCATAAGGGAAAGGGTCTTTGGGGGTTCTTCCGCGTTCGGCGTCCTGGGCGTTTAGAACATGAGGTTGGATTAATGGTTGGTCCCGGGGAAGGCGCCAGTGTCCAGGTTTTGTTGCGTTCAGGACTTGTCTTTCATGTGCAAATTAGTTTTGGAGAGGTTCAGTGTTCATCGTTAGCTGAGGCTTTGGCTGCTCGAGCGTTACTTTCAATTCTGGGTGCAACTGGGGCCAGAAAGGGGCAAGGTCCCTTGCGTGTGTTTTGCGTGACCATGTATGACAATATTCGACGATCAGGTTGTGTGCACAGGCCTTTTTACGTGCATCGAACTCATACAACATCGAAATTGTAGTGGCTGGTGATGAAGTTCAGGCCCCCCGGATGGGTGGCTCGTCATTGCCCTATCGTTTCCTCCCATGCCAGGCCCAAGATGGGTGGCCCATCGCTGCCCCCTATCGTGGTCTTTCTCGTGGCCGCAGATCGTGGCCCCTCAACCGGTGAGGGGGTCCGGTAGCCTTTCCCGATCATTACAGGTCAACTATAGTATCGCCATATTAAGTTTGCACTTACATCGATTACTACGTCTCATACCCGTATGAACGCCTCTACTGCGATCACTCCTATTCCTAGTATGGGGGTCACTGTTATGACGAATACCTCACCTGAATAGGCTCCCGAGAGGGGCCTCACCTGAATGGGCGGTACCACGACTACTATCACTGCGAGAGCTTCGGCTAGAAGCAGCAGTGCTTCGATTACTCGCAGCATCCGTAGTGTTACTATTTTTACGACTGTCCTGACGAATTGTAGAACAACTGTTCTACTATGAATACCGTTGCTACGACTGCTAGTCGTAGTATGAGATATGATTCACTACTTCGCATTCGGCTACTACCACCACTACTATTACGATGACGGCGACAACGACCATTTCCTCTAATAGCACGGTGCTAGAATGTTTGTTGGGAAGTCCTTACGGCCGCTGCCGCAGACCCCAAAGGGGGACGACGACAACGACGACGTTGACGACGACGGTGGCGGTGACGACGACGACGATGCTGACGCTGTGGAGCCCTTCTTGGGGCTCTCTTGGGAGGGTCTTGGGCTCTGCTGGGGTGCCTTTTGGGGGACTTCTTGGGAAGCTCCGTGGTCACTTGGAGCCGCCGCGGCGTGGATCTGAGTCCTCTTGGAGGCATTTGGGAAAAGACGCAGCACCCCGCAACAGCAGAGAAGAGTGAGGAGGGTGCTTCGGGGGGGGGTCCAGGATGAGGGGGTGGTGGTGGTGGTGGTGGTCCCCTTGTCCCACGGGGGGGGGGGGCAGGGGGCCTGGGTTCACCCTGTCCACAGGGGGACCACTGCACCTTCCCCCCCTGCCTTTCCGCCGCACCGTCCCTGCTTTTCTCCCCGCACACCCCTCCTCTCTCCATCCTCCCTCTCCTGCATTGGCTCTCCCTGCTCACTCCCTGCTCCCTCCCGCCCCTGCCGCGCCTGCCGCTCCTCCGCCTCCTGCCTCTTCAGCCCCTCCGATCGCCCCCCGCCCTCCCCCAAGAGGAGTCCAGTTCGACCCGATCGACCCGAGATCGGCGTCACACCGACATACTAACACTATGCGTGCATCGCCCCCCCCCCCCCCCGGGGCGACGCGTGCGCCAAGATACATTCTAGTATGAGCTCCGCGGCGGGCACGTTCTGGCCATACCGCTCGGAAAACGAGCTATTACAAGGTGTGTGTGTGTGCTGCAAGTTCGAGTCGGACGCAAGCCTCCGATGAGGACACATAGTTCTAGTATGTCATTCTGCGGCCGGCTCGATCCGATTCGAGTCTTCGCCATGGAGGGGGCAGGTGTCTTGAAGGACATGAGTCATCGTTTCTTCTTTTGCTGTTGGCCCCCCGATGCCCTCCCCAAACTGTCAGAAAATGATTCAGGACGAAAAGGTGGTGTTGGGGGGAGGTCCTGGGGTGCCCGTTTCCCTCAGGATCCGTTTTGTTGATAGCAGATTCAGCTATTCCGCCGATTTGGTGCGTTCCTGGCGCAGCCCATCCGGTTCGATTTCGACTCCGTGCCGATGCAGCCCGATCCGACGCACATTCTGATTTGGTCCGATCTCCCAATTTGGTGTTGGATGATCATGCCCCTCCCTTTCCTGAATGATCTGACAAGTAGGACCCATACCTATGTGACCCCTAGATTTCTCGGGGTGGGATCCCGTGGGAGTTGTTGGTGTGTATGTGCGTGTGTTTGTTGTAGGATGCGGGTTCCCATCCGCGCACACATACCTGTAGCGCCTCCATCTCCCTGCACTTCCCCGTTCCTCCTCCCTGTAAATTGGAGTGCCTGCCGTGCTTTCGTCACCTCTCCGCCTCGTGCGCGGCGAGGTCACGGACAGACAGCTCCTCGGCCTCTTCAATACGATCGTCCAGAAGACGGCGAGGCCCCGACCGCCGCACGGGGCGGCGCTGGGAGGGCCCCAGTTCCAGAACCCGGGCGGTTGCTCACGGCCAGCCTTGCTCGCGTCGGCGTTCTTCGCGCGCGCGCGCGGACGGAAGAGGCACCATGGAGGGAACCATGGGTCAGCAGTTCGCAGGACGATGAGGAGGAGGAGGAGGAAGATGGTGGAGGGGAGGAGGAGGAGAAGGAGAAGGAGGAGGAGGAGGAGGGGAAGTGGAGGATGAGGATGATTATGATGAGGAGGAGGATGCTGAGGAGGAGGAGGAGGAGGAGGAGGAGGAAGAGGGAGGATGAGGAGGAGGAGGAGGGTGGAAGATGGTTGAGGATGGTGGATGGGAGGGGCCTCCTTGGCCTGCCCGCCGCCACCAGTCCCCCCGTGCACCCCCGAGGCCTGCCTCCCGTCTCTCCGCGCCTCCTCCCTGCGCGCCCTGCGTCCCTGCCTGCATCCACTGGCTCCTCTGTTCCCACCCACCCCTCCTGTGCCTCCTCTGCCTCCGCCTGATCGTCGGCCTCCTCGCCACCATGCTTCGCATCCTCCTTTCCTCCTCTGCCGACTCCTCGCTCTACTCCGACCTCCCCTCCCCCCCCCCACACCCATTTCCCAGCAGAAGCAGTCGCCGAAGAAGGGAGAGCTCAGTGGACGGAGCTAGCATCCTGACCGAGACGCAGACGTCTCCCCGATCGGCCCATTCATGTTCCATTAGTTGTTGCTCGTGTTGCGCGGAAACATTCGTGACGTGCACGATTGCATCATTCTATCTCAGCACCTTAGCGCCTCCTGATGCCAAGAAATTACGGTCAAATCGCACCCTTGTTGTTCCAAGGTCTCAAAGGGCTGATGTTGTTCCAAGTAGTCAGAAGCCGTCCAGGCAGAAGTAATAGCATAGTGGACCCACTGGTGGATTCACTGTGGGAACACTTGTAGCAGCACTTGGACGGGCGAATTGAGTTATCTGGAGGAATGGGAGCGCCTAGGAGGATTCTGAAATGGATCCATTGTGGATGCATTCGCAGATCCACAGTGGGATGACTTCTGGGCCGAGAGTTGCGGGTACGGTGGGGTTTCTACAGGTTGTACGCGTGAACCGGCACGGAAGTACGCGTGGAGACACAAGGTTAGGCATAGTACAGCTATGTGAGAGGCCACGAGTGTTTCCGCAGTACACTTCCCAGTCACCACAGAACAGCCCGCCTTCGGTCCGACGCCCGCAGACGGAAGTGCCAGGAAATGAGGTGCACATGCAGGGACCACCGCGTGCAGTAAGTTCACGCTTGTTTTGCCCTGTTGGACCCTCCACGGGCCCCGGGGCCATGAAACAACAACTCAGGATGAAAAGTTTGCCCCGCGATCCATGACCCGTTTGCCTCAGGACCCGTTTCTTACATGTGTCATGGAAAGATACGTGTTGTCCAGTCTCAGCTGATTCGTCGCATTGTGGCGACACTCGTGCGTTCTCGGGCGATGTCATAGCGGAGCCACTACTGGAGGACTCTTGAATCGACAGTTGGGCGACACGTGCAGACATTCATGCTTCTACAGTGGATCCAGTTTTGGCGCACCCGTAGTTCGATCGACAGTGCGAGCACTGATATGGCCACGTGCGATTCGACAGCAGGAGCACGAGTGGATGTGTCACGGGTGGCGGCACCTTGAATTCTCTTCGGGGGCCAGGACGTCATACACTGTTTGCCTTCGCAGGCGCGTCTCGGCCTTGGGTTGTCAGGCGACAAACGGCGGAACGAACATTTGGCCCTAAGGAAGGGGTCGGGAGTTTTTCGGGTTTGGCGATTCCAATGAGAATTCGTCGTCGCAGGTCTGGAAGGCGAAGAGGACGGGCAGGAGGAGGAGGAGGAGGAGGAGGAGGTGTGGTTGGAGGCGCTCCGCGGTCTCCGCACGTTGTTCTGACGTTCTCTGATGTCGTATGCGGCTTTCATGAGGGGGAATGGGCAGGAGGGTCGGATAATGCGGTCGACGGCGCCGACGGAAGTTCCGCACGGGGTGTCTTCGCCCTCCTTTTTCTCTTCTCAACCCGTCCGCGCCAAGGATGACGAACCTGCACTTGCTATCCTGCCTCCCCCTCCTGCTCCTCCTCCTCGGCCAACGAGAAATCTGTTCGCAGGCGGCACGATGAAGTTCGAGCATCGACTTAGATCGAGCGAGCGATCGACAGGCAGCATATCGGCAGGGGCCCGCCTCGTTGTAGAGGAAGTCCTGACCTGCCTCAACTGCGGGCGCGGGCTGGCGGTGCGCGCGCACGCGGCAGATTCTGTTGTCCTGAGGATTGGGGCCGCCGCCGCATGTTAAGAAGACACGACCCCCATCATAAACCCTTCAGGAACCTCTCAAAGCGGCGGTTTCACCCAGCAAAGTCACGACCAACACCTCCCCACATTTGTATCGTATTGTCCGCATCCAGTGGGGTATATATAGAAACTGCATACGTCGTCCTCAACATGCCGAGGACTGCTGTATGGATCGACCGAGGCACCTCCCAAGCAAAACTGGTATAGATGGGAGGCTAGATCTGCACACAGCTTGTCACGATACTGCTTGGCCGGGGCTGTCCGAAATGAGCCGTCCTCTGCACGACCGATCAATACCTTGTGAGTGCCGAAAAGGTGGGAGCAACGGCACTGCTTCGGAAACTGTTGCAGCCCAATTCTCACGCTGGGTATGTTGGCAACCAAGAAGCATGTTGGCTTGATAGACTCAGTTCCAAACTCACACTGGTCCACCCGGACCAAATCTATGTGGACTTTTGGGTGTTGCATTCGGATCAAGTGTGCTGTCTCTTCAACATACCAAGAGAACGGTAGGGCTGGTCAGAGGGGGGAGCAGGGTGCTCTATCACTGCTGCCGCGCCTGTGGCGGCCGCAACATAGGCAATCAGTATGGAGGCACGATGCAGATCATGAGCACTCTCCAGCGGTGCCCATTCTTCGCCTCTGAGCTGTGGGATACCCCACAGCCAGCTCACGGACCGCAGCCGTCGCGGGCTCCCATCTCCGTCCTGCAAACGATTCGCACGAGCCGAGCTCCATGACTCACATGGGGGGCCCGCGAGCACGGCCAGCACTCTGCCGGCACAAAAAATATTCGATAAGTTTGTCCACCGCAGCGGTATTCTTAAGATCCCCCGAACCCCGTCGTGAACGATGTCGACCGACAACATCCATACCGCTGCCTGGGACTGACGCTGAAAATGCTCGAAGTGGCTCTGCACATCTCCGGGCCCTCTTGGACCGCTGAAGAGATGAAGCACGTACTTGATTCTATGCGTTGAAATTGGCAGGGGAATCGGAGCGGCACCAAACAACTGCGAGGCTTGCACAGCTACGGGCTCTGGGGGCTGTTCGGGCAAAGCATGCGGCGCCACCTTCTCTGGCTCGGGTGGTGGGAAGTATGGCCGATAGGCCGGATAAACGGACACCTCGGCTTTGGCGTAATAAAGACCTTTGGCCTTGAGACGCTGCGTCTCAGCCTGCTCAGCTTCGATGTCCCTTTCCCGCTCATTCGCGTCTATCGGTGGCGTCTGCTGTATCTATCCTGCGAGGCACCACCTGCTCCCTCTCCTCAAGTGCTTGAGCAGGCGAGCGCGTGTGTTGAAGCATTGCAGACAGACGTAGCAAGGTCCTCCCCTAGCGTGCCTGGCTGCCAGGTCTTGCTCAGGATGGTCCCTAACGCGGTGGAGCCGCCGCCAACTACCCTTGGATCCCAGTGTGGCTCCACAGTCCTGGCAAGGGTAAGCTATGACCTGAAGGGGGTGTGGAACAGTTTGGGGGGGGGGTCAGTACCGCTGACGGTGCACACATCATATAGTTTCTCCCTCCACTTGGGCAGCTTTAGCTGATCCTGGCTCCAGTGTGTAAAAGTGGCGGCAGCTTTTCGGACAGTGTGCTCCCAAGAGTTTGGGGCCTCACGGGCAATGTCGAACCACTTCCCGATGGGGACCCCTTTGGTCCTATCTTCAGGGCCACCATGGGCCTCCAGCCAGTTGGAACCTTCCCGAACCAAAGCACACCAACCATCCTTAAGGTGCTAGATCGCATCAAGCAAGACTCGCAGCTTAGGTCGGGCCTTGGACAAGACATGGGCAAGGTAACGGAGACGGAGAATGCGAATCACTATCTCGACGTCGAACTGTTGGGCCTCCAACGTGACATCGTCCACGTGCCCGCGCGCACCCTCGTGGCTCACCCTCCAGGCAGCCTCTCCCGTGGCCTCTCGGTAAGGTCATAGAAAGTCGGTCCGAACCTTCTCTAGGTCCTTAGCCCCAAGGGGGCTCCAAGCCCCACTATGAAAACACGACTTGGCAGAGCACAACGGTTGATAACGCCTCAGCAGGGCCTCGGCTTCGACCCCCCGCATTTTGAAAACCGAACGCTTCAGAGGTCTCAGTCCTTTATTTGGGGCAACAGCTCTAGCCTGGATCTCGGGCTCATGGAGGCCCCCAACATGGGGAACGCTACCTAAATGCTTATGCGCACTACAAATGTCCAATGCTATTTCGCACCTGCTTAGCCTAAGATACCCGCCCCCTTGTGCAAACCATTCCTGTTTTGCAGCCTTGGGGCCCTCCCTTTGGATCCCTGCAACGAGCCCTGTCTTGCCTCTTCCATCGTTGAGTCGCATTCCGTGTGGGGCGGTGGCCTCGTGGAGGACCATGCAAAGACAGACGGCAGCAGAGCGGAGCGACCCGTTGTCTTTCAACAAAGCAAGCGCAGTTAAACCATCCGCATATTTCGCATGTGTGATCGACCTATGCTCGCTGCCTTGTTCGCTCTCGAATGGCCCTTCAACTTCTGGCAACGCAACGACGAGCCTGGCTGTCTTCATTATGTGGTGACTCTTTTCCAAGATGGGGAATACGATACATTGAACACCATGTCCCCCATATTGCTACCTGGCCGAAGCCCCATCAGCGTCCTGGCGATGCGATCGCCCCCGGCACCGCAGACCGCGTGTCCTGATGTGTCTTGGAG